ATGGGCATAATTTATGTACCAATCTGCTAATGGTGAATATGTGTTTCCTTTTAAAAACATACATATTTTTGCACTATTAAAATGCTATAGCAAACATCCCTCTGCGTGTGTGTGTCTGTGTGTTTGCTGGACCGTGCAAGTGTTTCACAAGGCTCTCAGCCTAGAAATTGCTTAGAGAAAGTGTATAAATATTTTTTTCAGTAACAGATGACGCCAGATTTCCAAGCCAAAGCTGTGCCAGCTTGTGCTCACGCTGACAGTGAGCGCCTGTCCCCTCACCCTCTCTCTCGCTGACCAGCCTCGGTTCTTCGCCCATCCGCTGGGTGAAAGGTCAGCGCAGAGAGGCTCTGGGAGCGGAGGCCCGGGCTGCAAGGTCGCTCCAAACCCACTTTACCAGCCTCCTTCCCCAGCCGGCCTCCGGCCTCCGAGGCCCACGCAGACTCCCTCCCTCGCACCCATCCCATTGACCTCGACTGAGAACATTTGGTCAGACTCTGGGTGCTGCCCAGTCTCCATCTGTCGGTCCTTGTGGCCAGGGTCCCAGTGCAGCCCAGCCGAGCTCCTCCCCCATCCCCCTCCCCAAGCCCCCTCCCCGAACCCCCTCGCCCAGCCCTCTCCATCCATCTGATCTGCATGTCGCCGGGCTGGGCTCCGTGCAGCCCGCAGAACCAAGTGTGCAGCCTTGCCCGGGATGCTCATTTCTGCCCAGTTGGGGTGCCTGCCCCCCATCCTGGGTTTGGCAGGACACACGGGGACACTCTCCCCTTTGCTCAGAGACTGTTTCCCACTTCCCCAGGCGGTCAGCCACCCCCACTGGAACCCTGGTCTGTGAGGTCCCGTGGTCCCCTTTGCCCCTATGCTGGACTGCGTGTCTGCTGAGGCAGGGCTCAGAGTCAGTCTTCCTGGGCTGCTAGCTCTTCCCTCCCGCCCCCGCCCCCCGCACCTGCAAGCCCAGGGCCCAATTCCTGGTGCGCAGTAGGCACTCGGGTATTTGCTGGGTGCGTGAGCCAGTGAGGAGTGAATGTCTGTGCGAACTCCTTTAACAGATAGCTTTGTGGCAGAAACTTTTTCCCAGAGCCAGCACATTCTTGGGCTGTTCCTTTCGGACAGGCCGCCGAGCCAAGGGCCGCAGGGCCCAGGCGGAGCTCACACTCGGAGAAGGATGATTTTGGGTGAGAGGCTCCCGGTGAAACGCAGCCTCGGCCGGGCTTGTCCACGCCACCTCGACTTGGCTCTTTAAGAGACGATCGCTGTTGGGTAGGCTCACCATGTGACACCGCTCACCAGATGACGAAGGAGATGTCCTCGGGTCACAGACCTGTGCTGACCTCTCTTGTCCAGTAAAGAACAGCAAAGAAAGTTATAGTCATACGTGGCGGTTTTCAGTATTTTTAGTTTACAAGCCAACTGTTTATCACGTTAAGACACTGATCTATAAATAAATTTGAAAGCAGCGATACATCTGGGCCTCCGCGAGCCTCACATTGAGGCAATGATCTGTAAATATGTTTGTCTGTGTCATCGATCCCTTTTTTATTAATGTTGTGGCTTTTTTTTTTTTGCGACTCTCCGTCTCGTCCCCGATTACCAAAGGCCCCGCGAAGCCTTCGCCCCCAGCGCGGGACGCGGTCAGCTGTCACGCGTCTGGGCGACGTAAAGCTCCATCCCCTCCCGGCTGGATTTCAGATGCGACGTTAAGTCCCATTAGGTCTTCCTGTCCTTCCTGTGTACTCGGCCCGTTTTCAGGGTATTTGTCTGTTATCTAGAGACGCTCCTGCCCCGTCTCCAGTGCGTATCGCCTGAAAGCTCGTGAAATAAGGGTCGGCAGCTGCATTTTCGAGGTCAGCACACTGGCTTCCTGATAAAAGTTAAGCCCGTTTCGTTCCTTACGTAAGATTTCTCCTGACTTTTCGTGACCATCTTCGTTTTTGCCGTTTCCATGAAAGGCTTTACCATCAGGCGGTTTTGTATTCATGCAGGGCAATCTCGGATGTGGCTTATTTCCTGTTAATCTGCTTGCACGAGAACCTGTCCTCACGCCTGGCATTTACTGTGCTTTGGGTCAACGTTAGACCGAGGATGTCAGCTGCTTTCATGAGTAAAACACTCCTGGTCTTTCTGTACGACCGTCTTATCTCGCCTATACTACATCTTGCTTACACTGGAGCAAACTAATAAAATTTGAACTCAGCTTTTTCAGACGGCATAAAACATTACTCAGCATCCTCGCTGGCTGAAGTCACCACCCCCTTGACGTTGCTCAGGCCACAAAGTGCCAACACGGTCTTCTCCACCAGAAGCCCTGGCGATCGGATGACAAGCAGGCACATTTCAGTCTTTACGTGGAAAGAGTTTTTCTTTTAATTATGAGAAGTTTGGTGTAAAAATTTCGGAAAACACAGGAAAGTTTGGAAGAGGGTGCAGCGAGTCTCTCTCTGCCCAGTGTCACCAGGGGCAGGAGGGGGCCGCGAGTGGAGACTCGGTGCCCCCGGGAGCAGCTTGCACCCCATCTTGGTGAGTCCTGGGGCATCAACACTGGGCTGATACCCAGGGCTGTGGTGCATCCCACCCAGGGGACCGCTGGCCATCCACACCCTCGGGACGGTGTCCACCTTCCTGTCTCAATCCCGCCTCCTTGCCGGGTTCTGGGCCTCCTGCATTCAAA